AAATTAGTTGTTGTAATTTTATTAACCAAATTCAGAATATGGATTTGCTTTACTTGGGAATGTTGTTGTGGTGTATTAAATCTGTCCAACTTGCAATATGTGTTTATAAACACATAAAAACAGAAAAAAAAATTCTTTCAATTTTTCTTTTTATGGTCCTATATTGTTAATAGCAAGCTCAATTAAGTTCAATCCTGCTAGTAAGATATAACTAATATGGTTAGAGATTCGAAACTTTACACGTAATGATTATTTGTATAAACCCCTTTTTCAATTGCTTGTATTAAAAAATATTTCAATTCGCATGATTTTTTATGGAGATGAGGCTTGAGTCAAGATTGACTTGACATAATTTGTCATAAATCCCAAAAGAGAATTCTGTTATGAAAATTTGTGCCAAGACAAAAGGTATATGAACAAAGAAGAGAATGTGTGTGCCATCCCATTACATGACATATGACCACATGATTTGTTTGTACATAAATAACCACTTCTAAGGTCCCATCCGGAGTTTTCACATATAAATTATCAGTACATTTATTGAAACATCATAATTGGAGATTCCCAGCTGTCTGCCAATCCATATTTATTGAATATATAATCCTCTGAAAATAATGATTTTTATGTTGTAATCATTGGTATTGGCTCCTTTGATCACAAGGCAAGATAACGACTAAAGTGGCTACTGGCTACCAGCCATGTAGTAGGATTGTTGTATGCATTGAGGAAATTTGATGGTCAAGATGAAATCAGAAGAGCTTTATATCTATATCCAAAAGATTTCAAATTGTATTGAAACTGCAAAAAATGTGTTAAAAAAACTTAAATACACTTCAATATAAGGATGCCCTTATCAGTTTTTGAACAAAATTGAACACGCACAGAGGTGTAATGGGATTCCTCTTACTCAAGATCATACATATTCGGACAAAAATAACTCATGAGCAACCACTGCTTCCTATGAACATAAAGAAGGGGGAATTATTTTACTGTTTAGCACACGGCGTGAAGTCAAGGCATTTTAAATGCATCAAAATGCTGATCCACTGCCCTTTGTCTTTCCAAGCATCACATCTTTAGCTTCATTGATTTTGGATGCTAGGTAATGGCTACCGCCTGCATCAGGATGGTTTGCAACCATCACCTTTCTATGTGCTTCCTTGACCTTGTCTGCAGGTGCATTTTCCCTGTGAAACCATACAAAAAGATTATCTATTTTGCTTACAAACAGAGAAGATAAGATGGTCAGAGCTTCACTCCTTATGATTTCAAGTTTTCCATCATTTTGGTTGAAACCAATTCAATAATCCTTTCATTTTCCTTGACTATGAATAAATAAACAGCGACAATAAGGCTAGGATAATATCCTACAATCTACATTTATTTATTAAAAAAATCCTTCTTACCTGATACCCAGAATAAGAGCTGCTTCCCTCTTTGTCATTGCCTGCTGGAAACCACCTTCATAAAATTTCCGCATTCTAGGTTTTGGCGGTCGTGTCTTGAACGCATGCCAAGCCTGGATTCCATATCTACCAGCAAGTGCAGTAGCAGCTACTGCAAGACCAGCCAGAAAAGGTGTAGCCTGATGCACATCTACAAGTTCATTAATTCAACAGAACTGTAATTTTTCATTTTAATTCTAAGGTATTTGTAAGTTCAATCTCAATTGTCATTTTAAGTACACTAAACTCCTTTCCCAAGACCATTGCCCCATGTCATAAAAAAGGGGAATTTCCACCAGTTCTACTGAACATTATAACATGCACATGGTTCAATCCAGAAAGACACCATCAACTAATAGCCACACAAGGTGCCAAAGCATAGAACACAAAATATCACTTGGACAATCAAAAGAAGGCACTAACCAAAGAGGGTTTCAAACGATATATACATGCACGACAGATATATCGAATCAAATGGAAAAAGGGCATGACATCAATTGACAAAACAGCCTCTGCCCTCTTAAAGCCAACTCCAAACATACGTAGAGCACACATAGGCTTCTAAAAAATCATGATCCCTCTAATTAGAGATGGAAAGTCCTAGAGACAATAACATCCAATCATGACCAGACCATTTGAAGGAATACATATGAAACTGTGGGCCTTTTATCAAGATGCAATCTGTCCTAATCATGGTCATACAATCTTGATTAGAAAGCCCAAAGCAGCACTTCAAAACCATTGTTTCTATGATCAACGCCCCTATCTTCCATGTGGGGATTGTTTTGGTTGCATCTCAAATACATTTTCCAGCATGCATGGGTGCACAAAGACAAAGAACAAAAATTACACTGGCAAAAACAGGTCTTCAGTGTCAAATAAGGGGCATAACAGCAGCAAGTCAATAAACCGAGCCACATTTAGGATTTAGCAGAAACCCTGCTGTACCAATCTACCAAGCAAAAGTTTTTGTTTTTATTTTTATTTTTAATTTAACTGAATCTCATAAATTTCAATAAAATTAAGTTCGCATGGAAACAAGCAAGAGCAAAAATTAAATCTTTGTGAACCCTAGTACCAAAATCACATTAAATTTGCTTTTGAGGCAGACATGAAGCGAAATAAAGCAAAAAAGGAGGTGGGGAAAGAGAGATATTTCTCACCATTGCGTCGAAAGTATCGTGCCTGAGCTCAGAATTCGGGGTTTCATTCAGAGCTTTCTCGGAGCTTTTGCCTTTAGCTTCTGAGTTGGGGAAGAGGCCTTGTGCTTTGCCCAACATGTTTCCTAATCTTAAGTCTAATTCGTCCATTAATCTCTAGGAGCCTATCATATTGCGACGACTAAGCTTAACAGGCCAAGCACTTAAGTGACTGCCCACTGGAAACATTTGGGCCTCAGACTAGGCCCAGTGTCATCAAATCTATATATATAAAGCAAAAGGCAGAGAATGGTGAAACATTTAAAATACCAGAAAATGCCTTGGTTTAATACAAACATTAGGAATTGAAATTATTAATTAAATGAGGATAATATGATAAATTCAGACTTTTTCATATTTTAAAAAATTAAAATTAAAAGAAAAATCGGATAATGAACAGGCCCAGTGTCATCAAATCTATATATATAAAGCAAAAGGCAGAGAATGGTGAAACATTTAAAATACCAGAAAATGCCTTGGTTAATACAAACATTAGGAATTGAAATTATTAATTAAATGAGGATAATATGATAAATTCAGACTTTTTCATATTTTAAAAAATTAAAATTAAAAGAAAAATCGGATAATGAATCCTATTTTTATGGAAAACAACTACCCATTATCTTTTTTAATTCTAAAATAAAATTTAATTTTTTTAAAAAAAAGCCTCTCGCAGGCACATAAGCGCATGCAGAGAGGCTAGTCTTTAATGATGCACGCAATAATTTACTCTATACACAGCAGTTGAAATAACTTTATGTTCGGCCATTTTATAATATTTTAATATATTTTATTTAAAATATTTCATATACATTATTTGTATTTAATAATATGTGAGAATTATGTATATAATACGTGAATTTATTGTGTATTATTGAAAATATTGTAAAAAATACGTATACAAGATTTGAATATTTGCTTTTTAAAAAGAGTGGTGATTTCCCCACTCCAATTTTATCCACTTACACTCCATTTTATAACTAAAAAAAGAGTGTAAGTAGATAAAATTGGAGTGGGGAAATTATTATCCTTTAAAAAACATGCATTTTATCGAGTTTTTAAGACGTATACAAAGAAAGGCCATACTATTTCTTTGAAAAAATTAGAAAAACAGAGTATAGCCGGTAGGCTATACTATTTCTTTTAAAAACAATTAGAAAAACCTCTATTTCTTTAAAAGAAACAGAGTATAGCAGCGCCACTATCCTATTTTTATAAAAAAAAAATTAGAAAAACAGAGTACAGACGAGCGGCGATACTATTTCTTTAAAAAAAACAGAGTATAGCTGACCGCCTATACTATCTCTGTAAAAAATAAAAATAAAAAATAAAAAACCAGGTATAGCCGTGCGGCTATACAATTTCTTATAAATAAAAAAACCGATATTTCTTTTAAAAAACAGAGTATAGCCTATCGGCTATACTATTTCTTGAAAAAAAAAAACAGTGTATAGCCGGGGCGGCTATCCTATTTCTGTTAAAAAAAAATTTAAAAACCCGCATGGCCGTGCGGCTATACTATTTCTTTTAAAAAAATTTAAAAACCGTGTATAGCCGCCGGCTATACTATTTCTTTGAATAATATTCAAGAAAACAGAGTATAGCCGCGCTGCTATACTATTTCTTCTTAAAAAAAATTGAAAAACAAAGTATAACCACACGGCCATACTATTTGTTCAAAGAAAATTTAAAAACGAGTATAGCCGCTCGGCTATAGTATTTAATAAAAAATTAAGAAAAAAGACCCTCCTAGTTGCATTAGTTTACCATTTATAGATATTAATTTGGTATAGCCGCGCGGCTATACCAATAAAATAAGTACGTGTTTTATTCGGCAAAATTTTGGCAAATTACAATTTTGTGTTCCTCTGTACCTTTACTACAAGTCAGTCAGAAGGCTAAAGTCTCGATGAGTGTCAAGATCAGAGACAAGTAATGCTTTCAAATTGTGAATATGGTCACAATTCAGTGAGTGTGTCAAGAGCCATTCCCGGCCAATTTCAGTGAGTACTCGAGACCTGCCAACGTGACAAGGCACTTCCCGGCCAAGTTTTTCTCACAAAGGAGATTCCAGCATTGAGCAAACTAGGAGTCTAGGAGGAGAAAGGTGGGGAAGACAGGGAGGAGGTAAGAGCACAGATTGAATGAGAATCAGAAATTCATGGTTGTGTTGATGAATGTTAGAGAAGTAGCAAGAAGAAAAGTTAGAAACAAATGAACTTTATCCACTGAAAAATGAAGCAACGATGAGTCAAAATACAAATGATTCATAAACAAGGTGCACTGAGTTTCCCTTGCAATCTCAAGAATCCAGGAACAAACAGAAATAGAGGAACCAAATGAGGAAAACAGAACCACATCAATCTGCACACAGCTAAAGAAATCATATATCTGTTACCATGAATTAACATCAACCTCCAGTCCAATCCTGCTAGGCTACTCCATTATAAATAACAAGCCCTAACAGCCAAAGGTTACTGAAAAGAAGGAAAAAAAATGTTGGCATTAATGATGAAGACAACTGAAACAGACATGAAATGACAAAACTAATTTTTGTTTTCTCTTTCCTCCACCCTCTAACAAAGCCCTGACACATCTTTTATTCAATCTTCTTCACCTCAACATCTACCTAAGTACATTCTTGCTTTATTTTACATGCACACCTCACTAGTCTTATCACTACCTGCTGCCCCCTCCATTGCTAACGTTCTTCTCAAGCACGGCAGTGCCTTTAACAGAGCTAGTATCAACCCTAGGAGGACCTGAGTGCCTTCTTGGTCCAGCTGGGGAAGCAGGGTATGACAACCGCTTCTTTACAGAACTCACTGATCCCTTCTCTGATGGTGTCCCATTCTTGTCAAACTGGTTTGAGCTTGGGCTTGCCAACCGAGACCTGGCCTTTGTTGATTTTGTGGGTGTCATGTAACTTGGAACTGAAGGCGAGCTTGCAAGGCTCTCGTCATCTCTCACAGAGGACCCTGCAATGCTATGCCTCCTGTTGAAGCGCTCTGACTGGACGCTGAATGTACTCCTGGAGTCCTCATCTCCTCCCCAGCCATTTCCTCTTGGTGTTTTCCCGGTCACTGATGATGAAGATTGTGCCCTGGAGAAAGGAGTTGAAGGGGATTGGCGACTAGGAGGCCTGCTTGATTTTACGGCAGTAGGGGTCCTAGGGGAAGGCTTATTATCACGAAGTGTATAAGCTTTGGTGATTTCCCCAACGGACACGGAGGCACGGCTAGCTGAACTCCTCATGGAGGCCCTGTCATTGTAGTCTACTGTACTTCGGCTTTCCCACGGCCTTGCAGCCATCCATCGCTCTAACCAACTCCAACCCCAGTGGGGATTGCTGGGATCCATGAACGTAGGATGTTCAGATTTTGAAGAGTTCTTCCACATTTGCTGTTAAAGAGATATTATTATCCGGGTCAGTTTAAGGTTGAAGTTTGATTCAATATACTAATAATAATAGTGAGATATCAAATAGATTTTTAACTTACAACTCCCTACTAGTCACTTAGGGACATCACAACAAAATCTTAAATCATATTTCAAAAATTGCCAACAATAGACTGCCTGTAATCCTTTAAAAAATTGCAAAAGGGAACTAGGCTACCTGGTGAGAGAATGAATAAGCCAAAGCCCTTTCTCTTCTTATAGCAGCTTCTTGTTTGCTTTGTAGCTTTGCCTCAACCTGCTCCTTAGATTGGGTGCTGTCATTCCATTCTTCTCCCATCTGTCACAAGTTGATTATATATACAAAAAACAAAGATTAAAGCCCGACTAGGATTGTATGGTGATTACAAAATGTAGAGATATCCAAGTCTTCATGTTTGTGTGTGATGAGAGAGAGATTTCTACTAATCTAAAACTAGAGGGTGAAATAAATTGGAAATTAAGCTCAGAGAACGGTGCATGGAAGCAAAACCAAATATTCCTCCATGTAATTTCTGATAAATGTAAAAACAAAAAACTGACCGATACAAAAGGCAAGAGTGGGTTCTTAATTAAACCTTTTTCGCTCTTTGCAAAAATTCCACTGAAGTTCTTTGTGAAACTATGGCCCTTCAAACCAAATTTTTTGTTTCATTTTGGAGAAAAGAGAGTTAAATTTTTGCTTCTTTTAGAATCTTTTTTAAAGTTAAGATAAAATTGGATCCAGATGAAAACTTTAATAATCTTCTCTTCTTTTTTTTAATAAAAAGTTTTCTGGCCAATTTCACCAGAACATTGCAACTCAGATGCACACAAATGGCAGAGCAAATGCAAGCAAATTGTGGAATTGACCAACAAGAAAAACAAAGCGAAAGAAAGGATGAAAATAGATGAACAAACCACAACCATCACAATTGTACAGGAGCACACATAGACAGCTTAAATAAACATAATATAAAGTTTATAAACTTACAGAAGCTTTGAGTTTCTCAAGCTCTTTCTCTTGTTTGTGTTGGAGCTGTCGCTGAAGTGCCTGATTCTCCTCGGACATTCTAATTCTCCTAGCACGAATCTGAGACTGCACACGAGCAAGAGTCTGCATGCATCTTAGTGTGGTAGTTGCTTGCCGTTTAACAGATTGGCCCTCTATCAATGATTTCAACCTCACCAACCCCCTCAAAGCCCGCAATGCCCTTCTGGCCTGAAATCACAAATTACATAAAAGCTCATTTAACACATACAGCTCATAGCTCAATAATGGATATGTTGAAGTTATGAGAGTAGATTGTTATTTATTGCTTTGCCAAAACAGAATAACTTTTGTACATGCTGTCAACATTCAGTAATAATATGGAAGTTGACCTTGAAATATTATCAATTCAATAGAACCAGATATGAAAGGCTCATTTCCCAAACAACTAAGTAATAACCATAAGTAGATTGTTCCTCGTATAAAAAATAAGTAAATTGTTTCAAAAAATCTAAGTTCTTCTCCATAACAAGAACAAAAGGTTTACTTCTACATTTTATCACAAACCAAACATCTTATGGCTAAAAAGTTAAGGACATGAATCAATTAGGATTACAGAATAATATAGCAAAATAAGACCTACCAAGTGCCCTCGGAATGCCGTCTGAATCTTGACAGCTGCTACCTCCTGAAGTGAGTAATGGGGCGCAGGCACAGCAGTAAGACGAACCACCTCTGCGGCAGCCTGAGCGGCAGCAACAGCTGCCTCTGCAGCCACGGCAGTGGCAAGTGCCACAGAGTAAACATGCTTGCTCTGTGCATTCTCAGCCTCAGCTAATTTGACATCTTGTTTTGGAGGCAGAGGAGGAGGAGGAGGGGCAGGGGTCGTGTCAGGGGCAGGGATAACCAACGCACTTTCTTCGTATGAAGAAACAACACCCTCATTCTTCTGCTTCCCAAACCATTTTTTCTTTGACTTGTGTGTTTTCTGGAATTAACGTAAAATTATTTTGAATTAGAAACTCATAATAATCTTCAATATAAGATGATGAAAGTTCAATTTAACCATGCAAACCTGATCTTTCTTTTCCTTTGAATCAGGGATGAGGGCTTTCTTCACTGCAGAAAACCAACTCCCTTTCCTCCCCATTTCCTAGCAAAGCATGCTGCCAAAACAGAGAAAGTTACGAAATTTGGCACCTAGGCAATATTAATAAACAAGGAAAGTTATCAAAGTTATCAAATTTATCAAATGTACTGGAATTCAAAGGAACAATGAACCTGGAAAGTTGAAAGTCAAAGTTCAAACTACATAAACAAGGAATGGAAATAACCACGAATTCGGTATAGCTCAACCATCAAATTATGACTTTTTGGAAGGAAATTTATATCTTAAATATAGATTGATCTAATTCAACGCCCAATAAACACAATCAATAACCCCCTAATTTGAAAGGGTAAAAGAACGGAAAAAACTAAATAAATAAAAAACTGCCAACCCAACAAATAAAGATACAAACTTTCAGTGATTCATTAATGCAAACAATAAATAGCGCCAGACCCAGATGAAAAAATTGCAAGATCTTCACAAAAACCATAGAACCCAGATCAAAATATCCTACTTGCAGCAACTTACAGGCATTAGGCACACTCACAGAGAGAGAGAGAGAGAGAGAGAGAGAGAGAGTCATAAAATGACAGCAGAACTCACAAGTTTAGAACCATGTAATGGACAAATGTATCAGAAAAACACAGGCCAAAACAAAAGGACACACACACTCTTACCTCTGCTTGAAAATTCCCAGATCTCTGTCAGTTTTTGGGAACTCCCTCTCCCCTTGAAAAAAACAACACAAAATAACCAAAGGGGTTTTCTAGCAGGGGGCTTTTGTGAATAAAAGGGGAGAGGGAAAGAAAGAGAAGAGGAGAGGGGACCAGATCTTGTTGAAGAAAGCTTCAACGTTCGAAAACAGAACAAGCTTACCAGAGTAGGGGAGGGAATGGGGGGTTAAGGGAAAGCTCGAGGGGCCTACAGACTGGGGTTTCTATTTTAGCAAGAAACAAAAAACGATTTAGACAACAACAACCCCGCTGTCTTTGTCCTTCTGTTTTACTTTTTCAAAGTACCAGTACCGGTAGTAGTTATTTTTTTGGACAGCCATCATCTGATCTGCTGCAACAGGAACCACAGCAATTCTCTGCTTCCTCCAAACACGGCATGCCTCACAAATCTAAAAACAGGAAGAAACAAAAAGGTTCCTTCTTTTTCAAGCAATCAAATTCAAGGCGCTGATAATAACAATTTGGTATAAGAATTATATAACTTGCATATCAAGTATAAAACTTTCTTTAGTGGTGCAAACATAAAATCTCATTTAGCAATGATGGCTGTAGCCAAGACCTAACTTCTGCAGTCTTTAGTTGCATATAAGAAGGTGATTAGGTGTCTGAAGAAACCCTACATTACCCACTTGAGCTAAAGTGTATAGAAAGGCTTGGTCCCATTACCCCATTTTAGCTGATATCAATATATATTCTTGTGAGGCCACCACACAGAATTTTAAAGAGAGGGGCTTTGTATTTGGTGGCAACATTGATGGTGTCACATGCCAATTGCCTCATTTGCACGTGAATGATATTAAATTGTAGGCTCATAGATGATCAGAGGAAATACTTGCCTGCGGAAACTTGTATACATATTCTTCTCTTTATTGTTCATGTAATCTCAGTTAGAGTAATGCTTATGTTAGGTGACATGGTCCGGTTTGGATCGGTTTAATACTCAAATCCCATTTTTTTCAATCATTAGTTAGCCCATTCTAGAGCATACTAACATTATAAAGTCATATTCTTTTTTAATTTCTACCGTTCTAACGTCTTAAATTTTATCAATTCTAGAGAATTATAGAAAATAAAAATCAAAGACGAAGCAAGTAAATACAAGTTGATTCTCATTTGATATTTTGATAATCAAAACTAAACCAAATCATCCGTTTACGATTTGAATCGGATTATTTGAACTTATGCACCTAATGGACATGTTCTCAACTTTGACATGATGAGTGATGAAGTTTTATCCTTATCTTTGTCAATTATTAAGTCTGAATTTGGAGTGCACGTTGAGTAATCTTCACTCTGTCACAGGTGCTCATGCAATCATGTAGTCAATTGTGACTTTGTGTGATTTTAATTGATTTCTTTGTGGCTTTCAACTAACAATCACATTTTGTCAACGATATGCTAGACAAATCAATAGCCATACCTTATAAGCAATATATCCATGATCAGTCAAACTACTTTCCTAATTTTCTTTTATTGTCAACATACGTGGCATTTTCACTTTGAATTCTACCGTATGATTGTCTTTTCATTGTAATGATGTGGTGTCAAACAATGTGCCAAGAAGGGGAGAAAAGTTGAGATAAGCCGCATTTTCATAGGCATAAATATATACCATAAGTCAAGATCAAGAGCTTTTTTTTTTTTTATGGGATTTAGCCTAATTTAAAAAGACTTCGACTTATAGACCAGAGATCTTAAGTTTCAAATTTCTTAGCATCATGGTTGTGTTAGAAAACCCATGACACTCAAATTTCATCATTATTTATGGAGTGTGTTCTTGTGGAACCCCTTTATAGACAGCATTGATGGACATGAGGCATGCACATTTAGATCGAAATCAAATTAACCAAGTAATGAACTCATGTCTTTGTAGCAAGCCCTAACTGAATACCTACCGCATCAATTTGATGCATGCTCATAGACTTATCCAATAAGCAGTACACACAAGCATTGATGGAAAACAAAAAACAAAAAAGATAGCAAAAGTAGTTTTTAATTAGGGTTTTTTTTTCTTTCGAATTTTGATATCTACGTTTACAAAATAGATGAATTTTTAAATATAATTTAGAAAAAAAATATACATACATAAGGGTAATACAATTATTTTCAAGAAAAGACACACACACACATTATGTGGGAATCCAACTTACAAAAAAATAATCAAGAAAAGTGAGAGTAATACAATTTTTTTTTCTTTCAGAAAAACACATACATTTATAGTCCAAAGTATGTTTCCCACAAAAAAAGAAGAAAAAAAATTGAACTCTAAGATTGATTTACTGTGAAATTTCTCTATATTCAATATATGCTTTATATATGTTGAAACTAGCAAATTAATATCTATAAACTAATGCAACTAGGAAGGTCATTTAAAAAAAATTATTTTAATAAATAGTATGGCCGGGCGGCTATACTGTGGTATTTTTTTTATAAAACCAAAAAACTTAGGTGGTCCTCTTTTAAAAAAAAATAGTTCTTTATTTATTTAGTTTTAAAAATAGTATAGCCGGGCGGCTATACTCGGGTTTTTATTTATTTAGTTTTTAAAATAGTATAGCCGGGCGGCCATACTATGGTTTTTTATTATTTATTATTTTAAAATAGTATAGCCGCGCGGCTATACTGCTTTTGACACGTGGTCTCCTAATCGCTAGGCGCTAGGCGCTAGGCGGGTCCTCTTTTTTTTGTTTTTGTTTTTTTTTATAAATGTTTTCTCCTTGTTTATGGTGGTCATAGGGTTTTTGCCCAATTGGCAAAAAAGTGCCATTCAAAATCAAAACTTGAGCTAAGCCCATAATTTTGGGCGAGTCTTAGGCTAGGCTAAGCCCAAGGTGTAAAGGCTTTCATTTTCACAGGACAAAAACGATGTAGTTTTGGGTTTTGGGTTCAAGGGAAGCGGGGAGCCAAATCAGGTTAAACGAAGGGAGTTGGTTTTTGTCACAGTTGAGGCGCCTGAGCAGAAAAGAAGAAGCAGCTTCCATTGAAGACGATAAGTAAGCATACAACATATTTGTGTTCATGAGTATTTTTTCTGTGCTTTCATTTTTCTTGGAGGTTTTCGTTATTTGATGAAGTTGATGTGTTTGAAAGCAAGTTTGTCAGCGACATGGGGAAGCTGGGGAAGAAGGCCAGGAAGTTTTCGAAGAAGAATCTTCAGTCTGTGCTCAGAAGAAACCGCAAGTTGAATTCTAAGTTCAACAAAAAGAAAACTTCTAAGAGTAAGCTCTCTCTCACATATTTTAATAATTCGATATGGGAATAGTTATTGAAAGTTTGAAACTTCAGTAATTAGTAATTAGCAGTTGATTTGATTCTTTTAGTGTGTTCATAACTTGGGTTTTTGTTGCATTTGTATTTAGAATTTATATTTGCTTATGTGGAATATGGTGTATGTTGTGAAAGCTTTGGTTTTTGAATGCATGTAATTTGGGGTTTGTTGAATTTTGTAGCTTTAACTATATGTAATGTTTCTTACTTCTCTGATTTCTGTATTGGCAAAATGTTAATTCAATTGTTGCAGGAGGTGGGCAAGAAGATCCTGCTAAAGAACAAAAAAAGGACGTGATAGTGTTGTCTGATGCAAGGTAAGAAGAGGGACGTTTTTCTCATTTAATGGTTTTTTCATTTCATATACTCGTATCATATTCTCCTCGTATTTTTAGTACTATATGCTTTCATTTGGTAGTTTTCTGTATCGGCATTATAAGTGTTATACCATCTGAAACTGTATTATTAAAAGGATTCCAGAAACATTAATTTGAAAAAATTGTTATCAGAAATACTGAAGCCGAATACATAGAAGACAATCCTCTTGATGCAATATTCAGTGAAGATGACAGTGATGTGTTTGGAGATGATTCAGACAGTGATGGCTATCTTTCGGAGGTATTGAAAAATACATTTTCCTGGGAAGTCTTCTTAACTTCAGTCACTCTACTGGAACTTTTTGGATTAAATGTTTATTATTATTTTTTTCTAACTATGATTAGGACTCAAGCCATCTGCATCTAGCTCATAGTGAAAATGAGAATTCTCAAGAAGGTGAGGGCAGTACTACCATCTGTTGGTTTTGTATCATTCCGTTATCAATTTTTATTTTCTTCTCCCCTCCATTTTACATTTTATGAAATTTGTATGCAGGCAACTTTGGTAGTAGTAGTGGTGCTTTGTCTGTGCAGAACAGCGAAATTCAATTGGAACTTGTGAAGAAAACAAAAAAATTAGACAAATTGAAGGAAAAGGTAATGGTCATGGATATTACTTTAAAGTACATGTTTTTAAGAAGATTGCTTCTGTTTCCACCCTATTTTGCTCATCCTACCACTATCTTTCTCCACCTCCCATTAAATTTTATTTTATTTTTTAATTTTTTTGATGATCATGCTTGCTTGGAAAAATTCAGGATCCAGAATTTTCTAGCTTTCTGAAAAGCTATCATAAGGGGTCTGAACAGCTCAGAAACAAAGTTGTAAGTAATATCTATTGTGACATTGCACTTCAATTTTTGAGTATCATTTATAGCAGCAAAGATGTCTACTGTTTATATTGTAAAGTTAATTTGTGTCTGTCATCTGGTTTGGCTGTTTGATGTCCCTTCTTTTTCTCGATTGTGCTCATGCACTTTACAGTATGCTGATGAGGATGAGATCAGCGATGAGGATATGCAGCCAGATAATGTAGGTGGTGTGAATTTTAATTGGGGCAAGTTGTTGACCAGCTCCACCGTTGATTCTTGGTGTCAACTAGTCAGGGAGCATCAAAGTGTGCCTGCACTTACTAGTCTATTAAATGGGTACCGGGCTGCTTGCCACTATGGAGCTGAATCAACCAGGGTCATTGATGCTGATTCATGCCATGGAATTCAGAACAGTGAAACCTTTTGCAAGACACTGATATTTATGCTTAACGAGGCTGATAATATATTTAGGGGGCTAATGGGCATGTCAAGCTCCAATCCCAAGAAAGAGAAAAAATTGGATTTGACCAAGAATTCAAAATGGAATCCTCTTAAGCCACTGATAAAATCTTATTTGAGGAGTACCCTTTTTCTTCTGAATGAGGTTAATGACTCTGAGATATTGGCCTTCTCCTTAGCACAGATCAGAGCTTCTATGACATTTTTTGTTGCTTTTCCTTCTTTGCTCCGCAGACTCATCAAGGTATCTCTAAATGAATGACAAGATAGTACAAATTAAATTAATGAATGGCATTGATGTTAACATCAAATCATTCTGTGTATCACCCGTATACAGATGTTTTATACAATTATCATGCATTTGTTTATGTATATTTGGAGAATTCTCTCTCTCTCTCTCTCTCTCTCTCTGCATGCATGCAAGAACACACACAAACAGAGCAGATGTGAGTTTAACTTATGGCATCCTGCAAGTTTGGGTGATCTTTTAAAGTGCTAGTCATAACCATATTCATATTATATAGCTACACAAGTTTTATATTTTATGTCAATCTTGTGCCAGGTCATGTCGTGTGATTCATGCCTAACATTTGAAATTAAACATGCAGATTGCCGTTCATCTGTGGGCAACTGGAAGAGGGACTATATCATCTCTATCCTTTCTCATCATACGTGATGTGGCTTCTGTGTTTCGCTCTGATTGCTTTGACACCTGCTTTGTTAATACATATAAATCCTTTATTGGTCATTGCCAATTTTTGGAGCCTGTTCTATTTCAACACATACAATTTCTAAGAAACTCCTTTGTGGAGCTATGCTCTGTGGATCTGCAAAAAGCATCGAGGAAAGCATCAATGTCCATCCAGCAACTTGCTAAGATACTGAAGCAGGGTTTATTGACAAAGAAGAAGGTATTGCCACCATTAGTACAATCCTCTTGGCTGCTTGTTTCCTTAAATTCAGTTCAGGCAGATAATTTTTTTTGCCATTTCAAGTTAGTTTATGTGTGTGTGGGAGTGTGTACTTTACAAGAAATTATGGTATTTAGAATTTACCAGTGATATTTTCCCTGAAATTCTTCCTCATTTTCTATGTCCAGGAAGCGGTCAAGAAGATATGCAGTTGGCAGTACACTAGTTGCATTGATCTATGGGTTATGTTTATATCAGCCAACATACATGACTATGATCTTCATCCATTGCTCTTTACGATCATTCAGATTATAAATGGAGTGGCTGTCTTGTTTTCTGGACCCAGATATTTGCCTTTAAGAATCAAATGCATTCAATGGCTGAATCATCTCTCCTCTTCCACTGGCATTTTCATTCCTGTTGCCTCCATGGTGTTGGATATTCTGGAATATAAAATTGGCAAGGATGTCGGGAAACCTGGAAAAGACACCAATATTTTATGTTCTGTAAAGGTTAGGAATTAGTAACATTAAAAAATAAAGTGTGCAATTTGGTTATGCAATTCGGTCTGGTTTTACTTATTTTTGTTATTAAATATTTTTGGTACAGTTTCCGAAGCATTGGTTAAAATCAAGGAACTTCCAAGAACAGTGTGTTCTATCTGTTATCGAACTGCTTGCAGCGCACTTTGCTCAGTGGAGTCGTCATATTTCTTTTCCTGATCTGGCGACTATTCCCCTTGTCCGTTTGAGGAAGTTTCATGAGATAACTACTATAGAGAGTTTCAAGCGTATAGTGAAGCGTTTTATTGATCAGGTACAGTTATCATAGAAGAATTTAGTGTTTACTTGCATCTATCTCCTTGACAAAGGAATTTATTTTCCGGAGTTAGGGACACTTGAGACATAGGTCTCTTATCTACTAACTTCCTCTTTAGTAGGCCATAGCTCATTAAAAAATTTAGGGAGGCATGTGTGGTCTCAATATTCAGGCTGTCAAATTGAAATAGGCTGTACTGATATTATTTCATGCCTGGGTCCAGCCTGGTCAACCATCTTGAAAAATCATATTTCCAAAGTTGTGTGAGGGAAATTCGAATAAAACTATTAGATGGAAAAGAATGTTTGGCACAGTAATGGCTCCTTTATAGGTTTTTCTGAACTCACCAACATTGTTAATAGACTGCTTGTACTGCCTCCATGGCTGGCTGGTAATGTAATTAATGCAATAGGAATTATCTTTCTGATGTGACCAAAAAGCTCTGATTCTTGAACTGCAGGTGGAGCAAAACATTGAATTTGTGCGGAAGAAGAGAGATGAGGTGCCTTTTTCACCAAAAGATCAACAATCTGTAGAATCATTTCTCCAGGTCTGCAATCTTTATGGTCAATATTTTCGGAACTTGATGAATGTGACTTGGTTTTTGATCTGTTAAATGGTTATTTCATGCAGCTTGAAAAGCACAGTGGCAATACTTCGTTTACACAATATTATAAAAGCATCGTGGACAAGGCTGCTTCTAGAAATTTGGCCTTTTTTGAGAAGGTACAACACAGCAAACCTTATTTATGTGTTGTTTTTATCACTTATGATTTGACTGGGCATGTCATCTTGTTTGTTAACTATGGGGGTAGTCTAGCGGTTGCATAATGGCATTATGTAAAGGCTGTCAGAATCAATAAATAAACTTTTGGCTTTTAATATGCGGGATTGAACTATCCCAGCCCCCTCTGATGCATATTAACAACAACGGGGGGAGAGGGAGAGGGAGAAGGAGAAGGAGAGGGAGAGGGAGCGAGAGAGGGAGGGAGACAAGTTTAGCCAACTTAAATCAAATCTTTACTCCTGTTATGGTACTTGCTGCAGTTCTCTGAAGCAGAGGAAATCACCAAGAAAGCACAAAAGAAAATAAAGCAGTCTCAGAAAGAGAGGGTGACTGAAGGTGTTAATGGTAGACAATCAGGGAAAAGAAAAGGCACAGTGTCTGTTGAAGGCGTCCGAGAAGGAAAGATGAGGAGAAAAGAAAATTCTTGATTGCTAAATCGCATGAAACGACAATTTCTGGACCTTTATCAGATGCACTGAGCAAATTTTGATCCTATTGATAATCATTTCCAGTTTTGATGTCTCATTTAGATATGTTATTACAGAACAGACATGTAATGTAAGGTCAAATGTTCTCCGTATCAACAAAGAAATCTAGTCAGTTGAACCGTGGCAAATTTGCTTTTCTTGAAACATCAGAAGGAAAGTTTTGTTAACATACACATGCAATGCAGAGGTGAACTATTCATTACAGAGGAAGCATTTCTTGTAATAATTTTTATTTTGTTTATCGATATAAAAATGATTTAATTTGTGAAACCCAATAGAGAAAGAGATCTAAATTGAGAATAAGTTGGAGAATCTTAGTTTGAATATAAAAATTCATTTTCATGGTTGACTGATTTTCATTTTTTGGCAAGTTTAATGGTTCATCATTCTAGACTGCAAAGTTGTGTGTGCGCCAACCCAATAGCCGTTCATTCTAGAAAAGCAAAAGTGCAAAAGGAAAAGAAGGCTGGCATTTGGCTTTGGCTTGAGCAAAGTTAGTAAAGGAAGCTACTTGACGTAATTATACTTCGCCGACATGAAAACCACTAACCTTGGTGTTTCCGTAATTATATTAAAATTATTATTCATGTATTACGCGTATTTAGGCACACATAACGCGTATTTTTGGTGAACTCTGTAAATATCTTTCAATCCTTCTTTAATATTATTATTAACTTAGTGCCAGACCTTAAATCAAGGTATCGAACACTGACTGTGGAGGACAAAATGCAGAATGCAATACAGGACATCGATATACCCCCCCACATTTCCCCCTTTTTTTCTTTGGTCACAAAGATGTCAAGTGAGACGATACATCGAAATCTAATCTTCGGTGTAAGGACAAATACTCCCAATAAGAGACTAGTAGCTTAAGCGACTAGAGTAATTTTTCATGCACTTGAGATCCTATGTTCTAATCTCTCTCCTCCAAAGGTCAAATACACACTACCGGTAGAGCTACAAGCCTTTGCAAAATCAACCACATGTTATAAGTCATTGGATTACTAAAAAAAATACTCTTATTCACATAATCTGAATCAATAATGTTATTTTTACCATGTTTATTGACCTTTGTAGAAAGAAAAAAAATTGATTATAGTCATATTCTTCACATTGAGGTTCTAATTGATCATATTCATTGCCTCCATAAAAAAAATTAAATTACAAAGTATGGAACCCAATATTGCAAAAATGTCTTTGAGAGTCACTATCTTTATCGTAATATTCTTCTATTCTATCCACCAGACACATGTGAGCAATTAAGTACAGTCAATCTTGGCATGTCTTGAACTTGAACTCAGCTAAAGGAAGCCTGCCTTTACGACAGCGTTTGGCTGGCTAAGCCTACACCCCACAGCTCTCAGCAGCCCCCACAATCCCTTGGCCTTGTTACTACTTTTCGTTCCCATATTACCCTTCTGCCCCTCCATTTGATCACTGCCCTCATCACAAGACCTAAACATGGTTGATGGGCTCCTCCTGCTCTGCCTTGTTCTAATGTCCCTGAGCTCCATCTCCGTTGGAAACCTCGCCATGCCGAACATAAAAAGATACCACTTTGACTTCGATGGGGTGCTTGAAAGTATGGAGACTTTAGAAAGCTGACACTTTCTGTAACTTTTCGATGTGGGAAATGACAAACAGGTATTTATGCTCCTAGGGTCTTTGCCTTGCAGCGCTGGCTTTGAGATTTTGGAGTTGGAGGACTTGATTGTCTTGTGGAAAGAGCAGGACCTCCATGACCTGAAAAACCCTTTTCTGATGAGTTTTGTGCTGGCAATTTCCTTGTCCTGGTGGTGGGTTTTCTCTGCTTCAAAGCTTTTTGGTGCTTCCTTGTAGGGGATGAGTTTTCCACAGAAGATGATGTCCTTCCCTGATGATGGGTAGGTTGAGGCTGTGAACTCTTCGCTGAAAAACTCAAAGAAGTTGTCTTCATCATTGTCAAAGGATGAGCTCTGATACTCCTTGGAGCAGTCATCCCAATGAGCTGAGTCACTGTGTGTGAGAAGATCACAAAGTGAGAGTGTTTCCTCTGCTTCATATGGATCTTGATCTTGAAACTGCTCGGTTTTTTCTTCAAGAACAGTTGGGTTCTGGTGGGTTTCTTGGGCAACCATTTTCGATGTACAGAAAGATAACCAAAAAGCTCTGTACTTTATGATGAAATTGTTGTTGGGTAGTTTGTGATGAGAGAGAGAGCAAGAGCACCCAAGTATATATAAGAGGGTCATAAGCTCATATTCAAGTAATAAAAGAGAGAATATTTAACCCTCTTGGTGGGGCGAGGCTTGGTAGGGATGGCTTCTAGATGAAGAGGCACAAAAGAAAGCAGGAAATTAATTTTCAGCAGAGATTTAAAATAGAAAATGAATAAAAGGGCGGCCCAGGACGGTGTGACAGTGATGTCTAATTTACTTGGTGTTCTAGAAGAGCAGGCTGCTCCTGCTTCTGCACAGGGAAGGTTTTGGGAAAAAAAACTTTCTTATAACGGTGTTAGCAACAAAATGTAATATTCCCGTTACGGGAGTTTCTCTCGGGGTATTCTCGTGGACTTGAATTGCTTGAGTCTTCTAGATGGGTTCAATGGGCTTGAACTTTTTTTGGAGCTTTGTGTTTGCTACTTTGTGGGGGCTGCTTTTCTTTGTCACCACGTGGTTGATTCTTTTTGGGTCAACATAGAGGAAGGAGGCTAGGTAGCCTACGTACCACCAAGCTGATGTGGTGTTTATTGATTTTATTTGAATTTTTGTTTTAGATTTTGCTAAAATATTAGATTTTTCTGTGCGACTTGTGTGTACGGGTCCCACTTTGATGGTAGTATAGCACTCATTCTTTTGGCCTGTCTAATATAAATAAATAAACAAATAAACCAGTTTTTCAGTTTCCTTTAAATTTTATGCAATAAACAAGAATTAAAATTTCCAGAGAAAATAAAAAGATTTAGTCAGTGAGTATAACGTTGGATTTCTAGAATTTCTCTTTTAAGAATTGACTATAACAAGCAAGAATTTGAGCGCAAATAGAAACATCCTGTCGATTGTTGGAGGAATTTGGCATAATTCAAACCACTCAAAATTATCAATAAGGTACGTTAGCGTGTGAAGAAGTAGTTGTAGGGATGACATAAATTCACGATAGAGAAAAAAAATTTTAAACCCGAAAAAAATAAAAAAATGCAAAATGATAAGCATTTTCAAAACTTGGAAAACGAAAAAAAATCCGAAATTTTTCTCATTTTGCAAATAAGTTCCAGAAGATATTGACAGTGCATGTGAATGAAGAAGGGAAGGTTCAAAGACGTCTTCATCGAATAAGCAAAAACTATTACATTCAACTATTAAAGTCCAAACAAGTCGTAATATATCTTTTGATTGGTTTGATTTTCAAAATTGGGTCGGATTTGTCTTTGTTTTCTTTATCCAACGGGAAATTCAGAAAACTTCATCATTTTCAGAGAACGAGACCAGTCAAGTTTAGAAATTAATTAATCAAATCAAAGGCCAGCAAAATACCCCAGTGAAACCGCTAAACAGGTCTTAGTTCAACCCTTTTACTATAGCTTAATTGGTGGTTGATTAACTTGTTTACTGGGTTTTAACTCATGACTTCATGTTGCGTGGTCTTCAAGTAATCATTACTTTTGCCACTGCTTTCAGTTGCTCCAACGCTAACGCAATTGTCACAACATCACATATTTGAGTCAAAATTAACATTATCAATAGTCAATATGTCATACAGTTTTATTATGTAACATCGGCACATATAATAGCGACAATTGTTCGTATGCATCAACGGTTATAAATTTATAATTACGATTATAATTTTCACATGCATCAACGGCTGATAATTGTGTAACTAATACAAAAATCTGAAGATATATTAGTTTTAGTTTACAAGGTGTGAACCCATGAATGTATTAAGCCTAAACCCTTGTGCTGGGAACTTTCAGAAGGGCCAGTCCACCTCAGCTCCATCTGCATGCCCAGCATTCCTCTTGTATTCATGTTAATATTTTATTTTGTTTATTATATTAACACTTCTAGAAGCAATCAAGAATATCGTAGTTTCCAAGTCAAACGTTGGGATTTGAAAGGAGAGGAGAGCTGCTGAGCAGTGACAATACACAGACAAACAGACAACCTGCCAACCATATATTTTTATATAGATGATGTGGGGTCCATCAACATTAACATTAACATTAATATTAATATTAATTAATCTCACAACATTGTGCACAAATGATACGTGGCACTGCCAATTAATGACCCAGAGGTTGACATAGTTGAAAACGTCGTTGTTGGTTAATAACTGCAATATAGATTGTTAATTACCACAAGTTTTAGGTTTTATCTGCTTCAGTGTTTGGAGTTGGAAAAATGATTGTTGCCGATTTGTGTGGGATTGGATTTTGCTTGTGCAAAATAAGAAGTTTAGCTATGTTGGTACTACGAGTCTCTTTGGTTTGCTAGAGAAGATGTGAAGAGGTGTCTTTGTTTCTGTGTTTATTTTAGTACAATAATTCTCAAAAACTCAATAGGAGTTTATTGATGTTTGTATTTAGTGTTCGACTTTTCGATGCGGATTTGTCGTTACTGCCGTTGCATAGTGGATCTGTATTGTAGGTATGAGTACAAATGCTTTTGTCTGCTGAATTGGAGGTTTTAGGTCTTTTTGGCATGTGTAATTCTCTCCCGATCAAATCAATTTATTTTTGTGTTTGGTTACTTGAGATGTTGTACTCATATTTGGCATTGTGGCTACTCTGTACTTTTTTTGTGTGTTATCAATAAAATTATTATCGTTTTTAATAATAATAAAAATAATACGTGAACGAAACGATATGTGTTAAACAATAATTCTAAACACGTCGACTTATTACACTAATTAACGTGATGATTTTTTTATTTCTTGTAAATAAATAAGGTTTAGAGTGGACGTATAATGAAAACAAATAAATCACAACTACATTTTTCTACTATTTAATTTCTTGTCTATTTTCTTTGATCTCTATCAAAGACCAATATTTGGTCCAATCAAGTTGGAGTCCGAAAATTAATGTAATAAGTTGGTGTCTTTAATATTTTTCCATGGATGAAAAAAAATAAAATATATATACCACTTTAGAAGCAAAACAATTAGCTCACATATATAAATACCCTATATGAAATGGACTTTAGAAACTCACCCAAACCAAAGCCCATTTACAACATAACAAAGTGACTTTTAACTTTTTATAAATTACAAAACTGCCATCAAATTCTTAAAACAAGCCCAACCCCAACCCCAAAACATCATAAAAAAACCCAAAATACTCAATAGGATATCAAAGTAATTTAATAATCAAACTTAAATTCAATTGGGTCAGCTGTCATTTTTTGGGTTTGTTTATGGAAATTCAATGGTGTAGGGTTTATCTATATTATTAGTGTTAAGAATGGGTATATGACTAAATATATCTAGAATTTATCTTATTCTAATTATATGCCATTTTTAAGTAGTAATTCTATTCTACGTAGAATACTAGTTTCTCGATCCATGCTCATGCACGTGTCAATAAGTTTCATATTTTAATTAGACTATGGTTTTATGTATTTATCTATGGAAATACTTCTCTCCTTATTATGTAATTAGGAACTCATACATTTCTACCAATAGATGTGTGACATGTGGGCAAAAGTTATTTATTTATGTTTTTGATGAATTATTTTTGCATATATATCAAACTGTGATTCAGGAAGGAGGAGTATCTCCTTACTCGGAATGAGGCAAGCAATATCCTTTATCTATTTAAAACAAAATATTTTAGATATCTTTCTTAGACGAGGACAATTTTAAGTTAATTGAAAATTTAACCAAATTGCCTTTTGTGCTTTATATAGATATGGATATAAAAATTACAATATGGAAAAATATATTCACTCATCAAACTTACGAATTTTTAAAGAAAAAATCAATACTTTTTTTTCTGTTACAAAACCGTTAATACTTAATGAGTTGTTTTGGGGAACAAATTATTGAAATGTTTTAAAGTTAGGGAGCTAATTTTCCCATTCCTCTTTTTGTTATAGTAAAATATTTATAAAAACAAACAAAATATAATGTAAATGTATAAAAGGAGAGTGGGAAAATCACCACCTAAAGTTATTGTTTTTCTTAATGGTTTTTTTAAGGATTAACTACACTTTAGTCCCTGGAGGTTTAGTGTCAGTATCGAAATGGGCCCTAAGGTTTCCTTTAAGTCAATATCTTACCCAACATTTCGAAGTATTACCAATTTACACCCGCCGTTACATTGACCGTCAAAGTCAGACGTTAAATGCTGACGTGGCAGGTGTGGGACCCACCTCATACCCAAACAGTAGTTAGACAGAGACGACATGAAGGGCAATTTCGGCAACAAAAAAAAAAGACCAATGTTCGCCTTCTCTCTCCAAGGCACGCGTTCCAAGGCGATGCCTCGATTATCCAGACTTGGCAAAATTAAAGAAATCAGAAACTGAGTTTTGTTCGTGTATTGAGAGAGACATAGAGGAGAGAAGAGGGTTTGTTCGTGTTTTGGAGAGCAAATATTTGAAATAGACTGCAAAAAAAGAGGAAAAAAGTTGAGAGGAAACTGACGAAGAAGATCCGATTGGCTGGCCGGAATGGATGAAGAGGTGCCGATGTGTTGGTGCGGAACGGCCGCTACAATTCGAACGTCGTGGACAGATTCGAATCTTGGGAGACGATTTTCCATGTGTGCAGCAAAGGTACGTGAGACTAACAAGGGTTTTAAGGGTTGTCAATTCTGGGCATGGTTTGATCCGGCCATGTGTGAACGGTCAAAGGCAGTGATTCATGGGCTTCTAAAATCGCGGAATAGGCTGGAGAAATCAGTGGCAAAGGCAAGACAAAGATGAAAGGTTGTTTGGGTGTTATTGGTGGCTTCGTGGATTCTATTTGCAAGCATCATTTTGGGAGGGATGTGTGGATGTGGAGTGAACAAAAAGAGGAGCTTGGAATTAGCTTCTGCCATTGAATGAATTGTTTGTGGGTTATGTTTGTGATTCCGTGATTCTGTAAGTTTGTAAGTCTTGGGTTGTTAGTAGCATTTTGTAATGGTTTAATTGTTATGTACGTGTTTAGGGTTTTAGGGTTAAGGGTTATGGGGTTTAGCTTAAGGGCTTAATCACAAACTGCCATGTAACTTGATGAAGTGAATGGAATGGCAAAATTTGTACATAATTACATTTAAATGAAGTGAATGGCCATCATAAAGAGTATGCAAATGAAGTGAATGGCCATCTAAATCTGTGTGGTAGTGAAATAATGCAAAGGAATGCCAAAAATAATGTAAAGAGAAGTTAGAATGGACCTTATAGCCAGATATGGCAAAAATAATGTAGCAGAGAAGTCACCTTATGCAAAAGAATGGCAAAAACAATGTAGCAGGGAAGTTAGAAAAAGAATGGACCTGGAACAATAAAGTGAATGGCCAAAATAACGAAGTACAATGCCAACCCAAAAACTCAAAAAATTATGCATTCAAAATGGGCTCAAAATAGCCAGATAATAACATTGCATATCGTACATATTTCATGTCCATTCAATATGATTCCAAAATGGCAATTTCAATGGATGTATTTGCATTCACAATGGTTGAGGCTTATGTGAATGCCATTACATCCATAAAAAAAAAGTCAGTACTTAAGTTACACAGGACCAATTTATCAAAAACAAAAAGCTCCTAATCACAAACTACCAGTCTAACAAAAAAAGGCGAGTCATCAAATTCCTTTAACAGTGAGCTTCAATCTACAACATTGTTGGCTGCGCAAATCTCACGGCCTGGGGTTCCGGACCGAGGGGATATGCGTTAACACGTGGCATCCTTCTTTTGGATGTGGTGCGGTTGTGCGCGGGCGTGCCAGCACGGTCTACCGTGCGTCGAGATGGTGATGTAGATGAAATGGTTAAGTGGTGCGCCTTGTGCGCGGGCGTGCCAGCACGGTCTACCGTGCGTCAAGATGGTGATGTAGATGAAATGGTTAAGTGGTGCGCCTGTTTGGGTTCAACTTCTAATCAAACGATTGTGGCCGAGAGAGGAACTGATCTCGGCCGTCAGGTTCACGGCCTGAGTTACAAGGCCGTTTAATGGTGGTGTTGATGGTGGATTTCGGGCGTTGCTCCGGTGCGTTGCTCAGGGAGCGACGGTCGTATGATATATGGGATGAATGAATGAGTAACAGAGGTGGTGCTCCGGCGCCTTGAAAATCAAGGGTCGTATGATATATTGATGAACAGATTCTCTTTACAATCTAACACTACTCCTAGGAAAGCAAGTAAAGATAATGAAAGTTTATTACAGGAAAATATAATTTGCTCCGTGGGAGGCTTTTGGTTTTGGTGTTTGAACCCTTTGAATGTAGCTTGAACTCGGTATTTATATGAAGAGCTCTTGGAGGAGTAATCGAGGCTGAAAATCTGCATGGTGGAGCCTGATCAGAGCAAGTGGGTAGTCCAATCGACATTTGGGATCGTGAAGTATGGTGGTGCGACCCCAGGAATCCGGGTAAATCTCGGCCCCGCCCTGATCGTGGGTTCTGCGCTTCTGGCCGTGGGGACGCATTTAATGCCCTTGTTTGGTGGTTGGTGATCTGACCTCAATTCGTAAGAATATTTGTAAGTATGCTTGCGCCTAACCACTCGGATTTCTGTCACCAAATCCTGACTTCAGTCACTTCCCTTCTTCCCTCGTGCATTAAATGCCCTTTTGCGGCTACTGGATTTGCTAGTAAGAGGCGTTACTTCATTAAATGAAGTGTGGGACCCTGCTGCCATGTGACGATTTGACTCTTAATATCTTCGGTCGTGTCCCCTTCGTCCTTCGGCCTCGGCCTGATGATATCGTGGTTGTAAGGCCGAGATGACTATCCCTTGGCAGCTTTTCCTTTGTTTTGACGAAGGTAAAAGCGCTGCGTTTTGGATCGCGAATAGGTGCTGAGGCCGAGGGAGGAGACCCCTTCGGCTAATGTACGACCGTGATTTATCAGGCACAAACAAACATTTGATCCTGCAGTTGAAACAGAAGTTGATGGACGAGGACATGAAGTTTAGGCCGGTTGTGCTTCAGAAGTGGCACGTCCTTTCTTACTTGATTTTGGCTGCAAAATGTTTATGATGTTAAGCTTTTATTTGGATATTTACGAAAATTGATAATAACCATCATAAAGACAAGTAACTTACCAGAGGCTTCCCTTTTTGCACACGCCTAAGAGGCTTGGATCTTTGCTTTAGGGTGCTTGGACCAGCAGCTGGAGTGGATGCGGGAGATGGATCAATAGTGGTCTACAACAAAAAAATGCTTGTTAGTTAGCAACAAAAGCTTAGGGTTATTAAGGGATAAAATTGAACAAGATAAATTTACTATACCTGGGTATTTTCAGTACCCCTCTTCCTCTTAGTTGCAGGTTTGGGTTTGGGAGGAAGATTCCTATGACAAGTCCTCTTATTGTGCCCATTTTTACCACATTGGCCACATTTGACAGAGTCCTGTGTGTTGGGAATGCGAGACAATGAAGTTTCAGCTTGTTTGCTTGACGCTCTCATCATCATTTTCCTCTTGTGCTCTCCCTATTCTTTGTGTCTACATTTTCTTGGCCTTCCAGGCTGTTTAGAGTAAGACGGAGGAAGACATGGCGGAAAGTCACTCTTATCCCACATATCCATCCCATTCATAGGCAGTATGAGATTATCATATGTCTTCAAGTAAGCTGTTGTCAAATAGCAGTCCTCTACAAAATCCATGACATTAACACCCCCTTTATAATTTATGGCTGCAATAGCATGAACACAAGGCCATCCCTGCAAATCCCAAGCTCTGCATGAACATGTCCTCAAATCCAAGTCCACAATATATTGTGCATGGCCACCAGCTGCCACTTGGAATTTACCTCCACCTGACCACATTGCCACACAAGCACCTGCCTTGGCTTTATTTCCCTCCACCTTCTTAAATATTCTTGGGCAGATAAGCCTGTTCCATTTCAGCATTTTTTCCTTCTTCCTTGTATTCTCCTCATCAGCTTACATCTAATATACTCAAACATTGACAGAATTGGTCTATCCCTATATTCCAATATGGTAGCATTGAAATACTTGCACAGATTATTCAACAACATGTCACACTTCAAATGAGTGTTGAAGTGTGACTTGGACCAATGCCTTGGAGGTTTATCTGGAGTGGTTAGCCATTCATATGCATCCTTGGACAGGTTTTTCAGGTCTTCCATGGCCTTTGTAAAGTGGGGGATAGTGGTTTCATATGATGCTTCCCAAAACTTGTCTATCAGGCTTTTTGCTTTGAATAATATCCTATAGTTGGAAAACAAGTGTCTTGCACAGTACCTGTGGTCACAATTAGGGACCACTTGCTCAAAAGCAGGCAGTAAACCTTTTTGTTTATCGGATATAAAGGTGAAGCCAAATTGATTTACAATTTGACAATCCTTCACCAATAGCTCCAGAAACCAAATCCAAGAATCCTTGCACTCTGATTCCACAACTGCATAAGCAATCACCCAGGTTTCATTGTTGGCGTCTATACCCACAGCAGTTAACAGTTGCCTTGCATAAACACTCTTCAAAAAGCACCCATCTAAACCTATAATAGGCATGCACCCAGCTTTAAATCCTTCCTTAGCAGCTCCTAAACAAACATACAACCTTTGAAACAAAGGTTGTCCCAACTATTGTTGGAAATCACACTTAACCATTGCTGTGGTTCCTGGGTTACTCTTCCTTAATTCCTCACAATAATCCCAAATTCTTGAATATTGTTCATTGAAACTGCCCTCAATCAGCTTTAGTGCCTTATCCTTTGCCCTATACACTTGTTGTCTTGACACCGCTGTATTATAATCCTGCTCAACAGTCTGCTTGAATGACCTGATTGGCCACTGGGGATTGGACTTCAATGTCTCAGCATATTTCTTGCTTATCCATGTTGACTTCACAGTAGGGTTCTCCCATAGCTGTGTACATGTGTGCTCACCTACATATGTCTTCACTTGCAATGTGTTCTCGTGTTGCATTTTGGAAGCATATATCATCCACCCACAATCTGGGTCTCCACAAACCGCCTTCAGCTTCAAAGCCTCATTCCTAATAAACACTACATTCTTATTCTGCAATATCGAGTATTCTCTGACAGCTGCCCTAAACACCTTACAATTAGTAAACAACATGCCAATCTCAAACTTTGGATCCGCCATGTCAGTTGCAGCATTGAACTCTAGCCAATTCTTATCAACTTCCTCGTCAGAATTATACTTGGCATAATCCTTGCACTCAGAATCTTCAGAATCCAATTCAACATCTGTAGGCCAATCAGGAGTGGCCTCCTTCCCAGTTTCTTTAACCCTTGTCCATTCAGTTTGGTCATCCACCCATTCATTAAAAAAAAACATCATCTTCATCTGCATCTTCATCTTCACTAAAATTCTTGGGAATCATATATTCTGAGTCCTCACTATCAGAAGCATCATCATCTTCATCTTCAAAATCTGCAGCATTTGCCAATCTTCTTCCACTTCTCAACACCATGGAATGCCTTTTGGACTGGGTCCTAACGCCATCATCCCTTCCTTCCACAGCTTTGTCTTTATGGTGAATGGTCTTTGTCCTCCTCAAACCGCCACATCTTTTTTTTTACCAAAAGCACGCTTCACCCTATGTGACATGTCTTGATCCTTGCATTTGCCTTTATCAAAACAACCCTGAGTTGGCTTTTCTTGGACCTGGTTAGAATTCTCCTCATTATTCACAGTGGCAGTTTCTTTGCCTTGTTTAGAAGCTTCATCAGTCAACCCATCTTTAGTCAACCTTACTTCATTCAATTCTTTGCCTTGTCCACCTGCTTGTTCAGTCAACCCCTCTTCATTCAACTCTTTGCCTTCTCCGCCTGCTTCTTGATTCAACCCTTCTTCATTCAACTCTTCTATTACAAACACTTGTTTTTTCACATTTTGCACCAGGGATACTCCCCCACCCACTGGAACAATGGCACCATAATTGTCATCAAGCTCTTCAATCACTGCCCCAGTGTTGGTCCCAACATCATCATCCAAATTTATAAATATGTTTGAAGCCACTTGACTGTAAAACTGCTCTTGACTGCATGCCAAGACATGTTCTAGAAATATATTTATCAACCTAGTGTCTGGCACAAATACTAGCATGTCTAAGACATCTGCATTCTCACTCAGCTTAACTAGGCCACCATCAAAATTATCACCTGGAATACTGTACCAGTAGTTAATCCTACCATCGTGCCCTAACTCCTTTGCCATCACATCTATCTCAGTCATTGACATTCTATCCTTATCACAATAATCGAACCAATCAACAGACCCATTCACATAATAGTTACCTCTTATTTCACCATTGTGGTACATCTGAATAGAAAATCATGCCTCATCCCCTGCAATTCGAAAGCCACACATGAATTTTAGCAAACAAAAATATATGTAAGCCTATTTACAAATACACACATACAAATACAAATACAAACAGACACATACGCACACACATATAAAAATACAAACTTTCTATGTCAGTACACACATAGACAAAAGGTAAGATTCCCGGTGGTTGAAGGACAACATACAAAAGCCAAAGTTTACTTCCGTTAACCACCTACCATTCACACCATTCCATTTACCAATTAAATAGACACAGTGATACCGACACCTAACACGAAACTCACAATCCATTATAAAAGCCAAACTTTCACTCCACACCAAACTCGAAACTGAGACTCTCTATTTGAAAGTTTCACTCTGAAACATCAGCTGCCAAGAACCTTACACAACAATAAGCCATATGTACCGTAGAAAGGTTCTTCATATCCTTTCGGGCGAACTTCCCAACTCATATTCTTCATATCTTTCGTATTCACTCCATTTTTCCTCTATTTTTGCAGTCTATTTCAAATATTTGCTCTCCAAAACACGAACAAACCCTCTTCTCTCCTCTATGTCTCTCTCAATACACGAACAAAACTCAGTTTCTGAGTTTCTTTGATTTTTCCAAGTCTGGGTAATCGAGGCATCGCCTTGGAACGCGTGCCTTGGAGAGAGAAGGCGAACGTTGGTCTTTTTTTTGTTGCCGAAATTGCCCTTCGTGTCGTCTCTGTCTAACTGCTGTTTGGGTATGAGGTGGGTCCCACGCTTGCCACATCAGCATTTAACGTCTGACTTTAACGGTCAATGTAACGGCGGGTGTAATTTGGTAATACTTCAAAATATTGGGTAAGATATTGACTTAAATGAAACCTTAGGGCCCATTTCGATACTGACACTAAACCTCCGGGGACTAAAGTGTAGTTAATCCTTTTTTTTAATAAGGGTCTAAATTGTTTATTAAAGTTTTATAACTTGGGCCTCGGGAAAAACCCAAATCCATCCCATTGAAAAACCCAAAGAAGGAAAAATCCAAGACCAAAGAGAAACAAAACGACGTCGATTTCTGTGCACAAGATGGACCCATCACCTGCTGTGCATGAGACGTTTCCCGTTTCCCGCGTCCTCCTAGGATCATCCGCCGAATCCTCACGGACTCCAATCACAAAAGCACCCGCTCACGCTCCTCTTTAGCGCGTGTGCCAATCCCCACAACAACGCAATCTCCTTTCGGAGAGCTAAAAAGAGAAACGCGCGCTGAAGCGCGCATGGGATTTGAGCATCCGCCAAACCTAGTAACAGAAGGCGCATCGTCTTTTTTTTTTTTTTTGTCCGAACAGAAGGCGCCACGTCAGACCAGACAAAATATTCAGAAAAAAATTCGAGGACGCCACCGTCATAATATTGCTGGTGCCGAGGGCATGTTTGTAAACACGGAGAAATTGCTCTGTTATATAAACACAATGAAACCCTATTCGCTTCTCACACCTCTGCATCTGTGCCTCTCTCACCCTCACTATCACTGCCTCCCTCTCTCTCGTCGCTAGGGTTTTAGCACAGCGATCTCTATCCAGGTTCGATTCTCTCTCCTTTTCTTCTTTGTTATGCTTCTAATATCAATGGTATTTGATCGTTGTTAGCAATCTTTCTCGTTGTTTTTATATGTTCGTTTCTGATCTTGAAATCGGTTTATGCTTTGAATCTTTGTGTTTTGGTTAGTGTTTGAATGCTATTGCTGTTTAGTGATTTGGATTTTTGATTTTGTGTTGTGGATCTGATTCGTTACGGTTGATCTTAATAATCATACTCTGAATTCTGCTTTTGATCGTCTGTGAGCGGGAGCCATTGATCGTGTTTTGTTTGCATGTGTGGTTCTGTAATATTTTTTAAATAGTATTGCTCTTCCTTTTTGTTAGATCTGATTCTTTTGAGAAGCTCTGCTCATGTTTTATCAATGGGCCTTCCTTTGCCGCTGGTTTTTTCTGTCCTACATGTTCTTTTAGTTTATCTGATTTGTTATACATTGGTGAATTTTTGTGTTCTGAATTTTGATTTTAATCTACTGAGATTCACTAACTCTGCTTCAGGTTTTTGTCATTCATCATTTTGTTTTTTCTTCGCAAACCAGTGCAATTCGTTTTGGTTGATATACAATTGTTTGCCAAATATGATTTTTCTAATTACTCTGTTTCAGTTTTAATCTGCTGAATATTGTTTATTGTTTCTACTAACAATTAAATTTTTGCTATCCCAAATTCAATTTTAATCGGCTAGGATCGCTGACTGACTGTGCTTAAGTTTTTCGTAAATCTTTTTTATTATTTAAATTATGTTTTTAAAATGTTTGCTCTGTTAACCGCTGCGACTGGCTTTGGTTAATTTACTGTAGTGATTTCCTTTGTGGTGATAAATTTGTATTTTGATATTGATATGGTTTTCAGGCCTACCTTGCTTTTTCATTGAAGTTTTTTGTCAGTGGTGGCTTTTTTCTTTAATTTGTGACTGGGTTTCTTACTTTTTTTTTTCTTCTCTTAATTCATAAACAGCTTTTATAATGGGAAAAGAAAAGATTCACATTAACATTGTGGTCATTGGCCATGTCGACTCTGGGAAGTCTACCACCACTGGCCATTTGATCTACAAGCTTGGAGGTATTGACAAGCGTGTGATTGAGAGGTTCGAGAAGGAGGCAGCTGAGATGAACAAGAGATCATTCAAGTATGCCTGGGTGCTTGACAAGCTCAAGGCTGAGCGTGAGCGTGGTATTACCATTGATATTGCCCTCTGGAAGTTTGAAACTAACAAGTACTACTGCACTGTCATTGATGCTCCCGGACATCGTGACTTCATTAAGAACATGATTACTGGAACTTCCCAGGCTGACTGTGCTGTCCTCATTATTGACTCCACCACTGGAGGTTTTGAAGCTGGTATTTCCAAGGACGGTCAGACTCGTGAGCATGCTCTCCTAGCTTTCACCCTTGGTGTTAAGCAAATGATTTGCTGCTGCAACAAGGTACCTTTGGGACATCTTGCTTTCGTACATTGTTATATTTGATTTTGATTTTACTTTGTTGTGATCAATAATTTAATATCAATTGCTTTCGTTTACAGATGGATGCTACCACTCCAAAGTACTCGAAGGCAAGGTACGATGAAATTATTAAGGAAGTCTCATCCTATCTGAAGAAGGTTGGCTACAACCCAGACAAGATCCCCTTTGTTCCCATCTCTGGGTTTGAGGGTGACAACATGATTGAGAGGTCTACCAACCTTGACTGGTACAAGGGTCCTACCCTTCTTGAGGCCCTTGACTTGATCAATGAGCCCAAGAGGCCCACAGACAAGCCCCTCCGCCTCCCACTTCAGGATGTCTACAAGATTGGTGGCATTGGTACTGTCCCTGTCGGACGTGTTGAAACTGGTATCATCAAGCCTGGTATGGTTGTCACCTTTGGCCCTTCTGGACTGACAACTGAAGTTAAGTCTGTGGAGATGCACCACGAAGCTCTTCCGGAGGCTCTTCCAGGAGACAATGTTGGCTTCAACGTGAAGAACGTCGCAGTCAAGGATCTGAAGCGTGGTTTCGTTGCCTCGAATTCTAAGGAGGATCCAGCCAGGGAGGCAGCCAACTTCACTTCCCAAGTAATCATCATGAACCACCCCGGCCAGATTGGAAACGGCTATGCCCCTGTGCTGGATTGCCACACCTCCCACATTGCCGTCAAGTTCAATGAGATTCTAACCAAGATTGACAGACGATCCGGCAAGGAGCTCGAGAAGGAGCCCAAGTTTTTGAAGAATGGTGATGCTGGATTTGTTAAGATGATTCCTACCAAGCCAATGGTGGTGGAGACCTTCTCCGAGTATCCCCCACTTGGTCGTTTCGCTGTCAGGGACATGCGACAGACTGTTGCTGTGGGAGTGATCAAGAGTGTGGAGAAGAAGGATCCAAGTGGAGCCAAGGTGACCAAATCTGCAGCAAAGAAGAAGTGAATTGTGCGCTTTGAGAAGGGTTACAATAAAGCATGGGTTGTTGCTATTAGTTTTTCTGGTAGGTGCTTAGGGGTCGTCTGTCTTGTTGGTTATAATTTCAAGTCTCCTCCGTCGTCTCTTGGCTGCTGTTCGCAGAACTGGGTGCTCGATCGGCGGTGGCGGGGTTATAATCTGGTGTCGTTTGGCTGTTTTGTTTTGTGGTTTTAATTCGTGTCAGTTGTGGTGTGTTTAGAATTTATTGCTATACTTTGTTCGGATCGTGTTGCCTTTCTTTAAAAAAAATATGATTAGTATTGACTCATAATTGCGTCAAATTTTGATCGGTTTCATTATATTTCTTTTCCGATTACAAGAGTTTTTTTTTTTGGGTTAAGGCCACTGTTCTACTTGTTTCAATCCCAAATTTAAGGTCTAGCTGAAACTTGTTTCGAAACGGATGCATAAGTGCAAATTCTGATAAAATTCTAGTAGAAAAGGATGCAGAAGTGCAAATTCGTATACCATACAACTGTTGTTTGAGCATGTGCTCATTATGGGGCCGGTCCGTGTTTACCTTCATATGATGGTTTCCATTTTTTTTTAATTTTACTTTATAATTATAATAAAGTTTAATTTTCGAGCCATTCTTTAAGACGAGAGTTTGTGTAACTAAAAAAAGAAGGGCCGGGATCATTTTAAAGAAATGACATAGGAGGAGGAACACATGACAAACAGATACACCACTAATTTTACATGTTTTGTTATGTGCACAAATCTCATTTCTTTTATCTTCAATTTGGTAGGAACTCCTTTCTCATGATAATAAACCATAAATTCAGAAGAAGATTTTAGCATTTGAAAACTACATACTAATTTACATGTGCGGAATTATGTGTCTTAAGTAAGATGTTGGAGGAAACTAAATTTATATTTACTAGTAATAAATCTACTACTCTATTGAATCGAAATAGCAAACTCACATATAAAGTTACATTTAGAAACCTTTCTATGATTGGAGTGCTATTTGAGGAAAGCCAAAGGGAAAATGTCATTTAGATAAAGAGCAAGCTAGTGGTGGGTGAGCCACGGTTTAAGAAACATACGATGCATGTCTCTCATAAAATAAATAGCTACAAATTTGGCAGTTTCGTTAAAGATAATTTGTAGCATTTTCTTTTCAAAAGTTGAAAACTACACTATTGTTATTGTTTTCTTTTTCAGAATATTGTAATGCGCTTTAAAAGGCCTAAAAATTACCTAAATAATTTTCAAATTTGGGCCCAAAACAGCTTAAATATGCCTTCCCGGTTAGGCCCAAATCGATTCTAACCAACCGAGAATGTCGGTCTAGTCAAATTTTTTTTTTTTTTTTGG